TCTAGAGGAGATCTGCATGGAGGAATGGGCCAAAATACCAGCAACAGTGTGTGAAAACCTTGTGAAGACTTACAGAAAACGTTTGACCTCTGTCATTGCCACCAAAGGGTATATAACAAAGTATTGAGATGAACTTTTGTTATTGACCAAATACTTATTTTCCACCATAATGTGCAAATAAATTCTTTAAAAATCAGACAATGTGATTTTCTGGATTGTTTTTCTTCTCATTCTGTCTCTCATAGTTGAAGTGTACCTAGGATGAAAATTACAGGCCTCTCTCATCTTTTTAAGTGGGAGAACTTGTACAATTGGTGGCTGACTAAATACTTTTTGCCCCACTGTAAATATGACTTTATTATTGAAATACTTGATAATAAGATATAGTTTAGACCAGTGGTTCCCAAACTTTTTTCAGTCAGGGCCCCCTTGGGTAATATTTTCAACCTTTTCAAAATATTTTATACTTTTTGAAATATTCAGCTTTTTAAACTATTTTTTAAGAGTGGAACTCAATGGGAGGAACTCAATGGGAAGAACCTTCAAATCCTCTTTTACCTACACCTTGCGCCAAATGCTTCTCCTTCCACATACTTTCAGCTAGAGACTTCATTCCAACTTTAAAATGATCACAAAACCTTCAGCTATTAAAATTGTATTCAGATTTTGTATATCCAGTGGCGGCCGGCCCATAGGGGCGCTAGGGGCGCCGCCCCACCTCTTCCCACATTCAAAAAAAAATATTAAAAAAAATATTTTATATTTTTATTTGTAATGAACAAGGTAAATATCATACAATTGGTATCAGTAAAATGTATAATCTACAATAAAATCTCGTTTAAAATTGTGTTACGATGTCTAAAGTTACTGATAAGTATGGCATTAGTTTATCATTACCGGGCGGAGCCCCCGAGACAAACAGCAGCAACCAGCATGTTGCAAAAGTCTCAATAGTAAACTGTGCCGCCGAAACATAATTTCAGCCAATCAGCGCCGTCAAATATTTTGGTCACGAGGGCGCTCACGTTGGCGCACATGTTGCTTACGTGCGTTGACGTGAGTTGTTTTTTAGACTCGTGAGTGACCAAGGTGACGCAGTATTTAGAATGGTGTGCAGGTGGAGTCGCCGGACCTCGGTCCGCACCCAATTCCGTGCAAGAGCTACTCTCCAATCCTTTCCAAAGGAGAAGTTTGGGAGATAAATTGATACTTAAAGACCTTGGACCGGACCAACCCGATTTGTATATATCACAGCAAGCTCGTGAAAAAGACAAAACGTATCAACGAGGCTAGCTGGATGCAAACGATGCAAACAGGTAAATGCTATCTTTTGTTTCCCATGCTTGCTCTTCAAACAGCCGGGGACAGATACGATCTGTTCAGAAACTAGACAAAAGTTAAACAAGTACAAACCACAGACTGTCTGTGTCATGGAGAATACAGTCGCTGGTTTATTTATGTCTGTATAGGCCGTTGTTGTGAGTGTGGACGGTCGGAGCATATATAACGTTAGCTTAGCCAAGCTCCATTCAGAAAACAAGCATTCTAAACGGTTTTTCGCCTGCCGTCTGTCTGCAGACTTGTCAAAGCATTAATTCATGGTTTTTACTAACCGGTATCAGTATGTTGTTACGTCGGCATCATTTAGAAACGTGTATTACAATTTAATCACGGTAAAATATGTTCATCTTGTTGTAGTTGTAGCTCCCGAGCCAGCGCGTCTTGTTTGAATGATGCGAGTAAACACAGCTGGCAGCCGCGGTGAAACTCGAGCGACTTGAGCGATGCGATAGGAGCGTTTAGAGCGAAGCGAATATTCGCATCGCGTCCGGTCTGAACGCAGCATTAAAGCGAGCTCCGCGCTGCACTGGAAACGCGCCATTACATCACCAGAAGTCCTAATTGAAGGGGTCATTTCTCCCAAAAAAAATTTGTTTACTCACTATATCAAAAGCCCCACCAAAAATATTTTCCACCAGCCGCCACTGTTTATATATTTTACACTTTTTGAGATATTTAACTTAGTTTTTAGCTTGGTAGAGATGCCTTTTTCAGATTTTAGCATTAGTGTGTATTGCGCAGCTCGTTAAGGCTAGAGTGCTTTGATCTCAAAACAGAGCGGAGGAGAGCTTGAAATTCGCCCAAAATTATTTTTAAAACCTGCCATAATGCTCAAAGCCTACGTTGAAAAATAAAAACAAATTAAGCAAAACAATTAATCAAAATGCCTCTTGAGGGCATGAAGTGACAAAAACGTTCAACATGTCTCCATTAAGCCCCATTGTACATTCAGATTGATCTGTCCTCAGAGCACCAGCTGCACACCTTTAGTTAATCTGCCAAATAGGCCACATTATTGACCCGAAAGTACACAAAAAGCACACTTCAGACGCTCGTCAGGGTCCTGAGACGCTTCACCCATTGAAATATCACCGATATCTGTTACGGTTCTTCAACAAAACGTTCACATGTAAGAGGTTTATCTCTCATTCAGATCAATGGAAAGGCTCTTCTCTCACTGATTACTGCACATCACCATGAAAACCTTGATCTCTGGGCTCAAGCACAGGTGTTTCATAACGTCACTAGCTCAAACACAAACACCTGTGTGATGATGTCATAACTCCAACTGACATGCTCAGAACGCCACCAAACATCACATGATGGTTAACACTGTGGCCCTGAACAGCTCTACGTCAAATTTGATGTTACATAATGTGGTGTTACCATGCCTCGCCATAAAACACGATATCGCTTTAACTCCAATTGACACGGTCCGATCGTCCCCCAATCTTCACTTGTATATCACCGGTCCATGCCTCAACAGCTCCACGCCAAATCTGACATCAAAACAGCACCAGACTTCAGATAATGGTTAATGGTCCAGCCCTCAACATGTCTATGTGCCAATAGTGAGTTTTCCTCAAAAGCTGTTGCCATCCCTCACCATAAAACACGATATTGCTATAACTCCGATGAAAATGGTCAAAAACTGCTCAAACTTCACATGTGTGCTAACAGTCCAGCCGTGAAGACATCCACATGACCATTTTGAGATTTCTTCAAATGCCCTTGCCATGGCAACACAATGCTCACCATGAAACACGGTTTCTCATAACTTCAGTGAAAATGCTCCAAAAGGCCCAAAACTTCACAGGTTTGGTAACGATGCAGCCATCAACACATCTAAGCGTATTATGGGGTTTCATCAAATGCCATTGCCATGGCGACAGATTACTCGCCATCAAGTTAGTTCAAAAGTTTGCAGTTCAAATATTCTGATGCTTTTCAAAGCCTTTTTACTTTATTTTCTTCTCTTATCACACATTCATTCACTACTACGTACATCTGATATTTAACTCCTTCAGCCTATTTTCAGCTGCAGAAACCATTCAACTATTACATTATTCAGCTATTTCAGGACATTGAGGCGATACATTTAGTTGTTTATACCTTTTTTAAACCTTTTCTTTTAAATATTAAGCTTCTTCACTATTTTTCCTACCCTTCGAGTTTAACATTTCACTTTCAAGTTTTCAACAAAGTCATTGCAATGCTTTTGAGCTGTAACAATTTTGATTCAAATCATTTCACTTTTCTGCATTTCTCCGCTAAGTTCAGCAACACACTTACTTGGTTTCTGTAGCTAAAAGCAGCTACAGAGACCATTCAACTAATAACATTTTCAGCTTTTCCAGCTAAATTCAGCCACAAATGTTCACAGTTTACAGCATTCGCACACATTTTCAGCTGGAAAAGCATTTTCTAGTTGAAAGTAGTAGGCCTACTTCCCTGTCTGGTACATTTTTTTATTCCAATTTGTTTATGAAATATATGAATAAACATTAACTATTACTACTAATAATAAATATGAAATCCTTTTTTTAAATATATTTGTATTTCTCTAGTACCAATAACAAATCGATAACGTCGGAGCTTATCGATACCACGGTCTTTAAAATATTGCAGGGACACAAAAATGAATTCTGTTCTATAGCATTGTATATACATATTGGTCTGTTAGGCACAAGGCCTCATTGCTGGCCATTATTGCATCGTGGGTGTTGACAGGAAATAACTCTTTAAAGCGAGTTCTGTTTATTTATTACTTAACAATTGAATTGATTGAATGATATGTCTTATTATCTTAAAAAATACAGGTTATAATAAATTATGACAGACAATGAGAAAGTGAAACTGACTGTCTGCACTTCAGATGTTGTCATAGGTTCCCGTGTAGAGGACTCAGGTTCAAATCCGGCCAGGAACCATTTATGCATGTCATCTCCTCTGTCTTCCCCTTTTAACACTGTGACTATTCAATTAAAAAAAAAATTGTAATGTGGCTAATTGTAATTTTTAGGAAATGTATATAATTCAAAGTTAGTATGATAAAGGGCTTGAATACAGTTCTTATATTCTTATAACAAAGATTTATTTGTTCCCACACAAAAAAGAATAATTAACAACAATGTCACTGGCTAAATTGTTATTGTAAACATAGGTATTGGCTGAGAAATTTGCAATCGATGCAGCCCTACAATAAACCCCACTAACTGGACCTTTAAACTGAGATATCTATGAGAAGCTGCCGGCACACAGAGCTAAACGCTTTCCTGCTCGTTCTAATATCTGAGCAGCTTCTGCAGGGAGTCAATGGAGGACGTATTGTATTTCCGGCAGACAAATTGTATACAATAATAACTTCCTACACTAAAGTACTTTGTTCTACACCAACAGTGGACTGAGATTATCAGCCACAATACTGCTTCACTTTCTTTCATAGGTGATAGCCCTTGAAGTCCCAAAAGGCTCTGTGTCGCTGTTTTGTATATATAGTATGAAATAATAGTGTGTATGATATGATAGTATGAGCCTTTCCTCAGTCAGGGTATACAGCCGCATCAACAGAAAAACAGACTGAGAAGCATGCTGGAAACATGTTTCTAATGTCCAGAGGCCAACCCATATCAGTATGTTAAGTGCAATGGTTTGGTTACCGTGAAGGGAAGTCAGTCATGAAGAGTTCTGGGACCAGTTCCTGCAGGCTGACTGGCTGCTCAGGGTGCTGAGGACAGAGGATGTGCTCCTTCTCCACTGCAGCCAGAACGCAGTCCTCCATGTTGAAGTAATGAAGCCCTGCCCCTCCTGCGCCATCAGCCCCCCCCCCTGCTCCCTCTTCTCCCACCTGACCTACAAGCTTGGCTTGCTTCTGCGGGCCCAGTGAGGCACAGAGGGGACAGGGAGAGTACTGCTCCATGAGGAGACTCCCGTCACTCTCACTGGCGGTCAGAGCTACAAGAGAGGACACAGAAATAAAAGAAATGTACAAGATCTGTGTTTATTGGACATACATGTGTAACATGTCTGAGGGCAGCAGAACAGACACTGTCATTTATCAAAGGGATTCAATAGGCAACATATTTGTGATAGTGGCCTTTAAAAATTAAACTGTGTCATATAGATTGCACAGAGTGTAGGCTTATTATTAAGTAGAGTATTCTACACAGCCAACCTCTCGGAGTCCTTCCTCAGTTTCCCTTCCTCAGGATACTTCAACTTTAGCTTGTTGAAGTTTTTTTGGGAGAGTTTTTTCTTTATCCAAGGGTTTTGAATACTCCTTTTGAATGGTTTGTTTAATGCGCCGTGTTGCAACCATTAGAATGGTTTATATCTTTTCTTTTAAATGACTGATTTTAAATGCCATTTTCTTAATGTCTTTCGTTTTTTGTAAAGCACTTTGAATTGCCTTGTGTTGAAAGGTGCTCTATAAATAAACTTGCCTTGCCTTGCCTTATATGTTTTGTTATTTGAACACTAGATGGCGTAATGGAGCAAAAGCATATAACTGGTCTCCTGGCACAGGTGTATTGATTGTGACTGGGAGAGCAAGAGTTCTTTGACCGTGTCTGTGAACATGCTGTTTTTCTTTTAAAATAAAAGATATTGAAAGCAAAACTCCGTCGTACATGGAGATTGCACGCGTCCAATTAGTTAACCCAGTTTAGTTGATCCCAGGTGATATTGAGTGGCAATAGTCACCACATGCCGTTTTTGTATTACTATAATGAACAGCGGTACGTTAGGTGCATTCTTTATCACCATCATCATAATGTTATAGTGGGCTTATACTGTATATGTCTCAATAATATTTGTGTGAACACAAAACATGATTTGTGTGTAAATGTGTGATTTGTAAATGTGAAACACCTTCCACAAATGCATTCAAACGATTTGCAAATGCACAAAAAAAAATTGCAAATGTAAAACGGATCTGCCAATACGCAAAATGTTTTCACAAATAAAAAAAAGATGTGTGAATACTATAATTAGGTAGGTAGGTAGGTAGGTGCTTTTCTACTGATTACCACTACACTGGTAAGGTAAAACTAGGCGGACTAATAAGATGTGAAGTGCTTTGTAATTATAGTATTCACAGATCTTTTTTTGATTTGTGAAAACATTTTGCATATTTGCAGATCCGTTTTTTTTGTGAGTTTGCAAATCTTTTGAATGCATTTGTGTTAGGTGTTTTACATTTACAAATCACACATTTACACACAAATCATTTGTATGTTCACACAAATATTATTAAGGCATATATTTTCATTTAATTTCAAACCTTTATTTATACAGATGAATCCCATTGAGATCATTGATCTCTTTTTCAAGGGAGACCTGCTCAAGTAGTTCCACATGAAACATAAAAACATAAATAGAACAACAAAAGGACATCATACATCATCATTTACATAATTATCCACATAAACAGGTACCAATAGCTTCCGATTGACTAGCATCCAACCGAGCTTTAAAAACATTTAGTGGCACCAGATTGTTCAGTTTCCATTTAATTTGCAGACTATTCCAAGACAGAGGAGCTGCGCATCTATAATATATATATATATATAATATATATAATATATATAAGCCCATAGAAGACCTTTTGGATCATATGCTGAATACATATGCTCTTCTGCAAACCTTGACAAACATGTCAACCAGACAAATGGCAAGATAAACAGTTGAATAGTCAAAAACATAATAAAATGATATTAAATCAAGTGTTCAGGGCACTGACCGGGGAACCACTGATCGATCAGAGAGTTCACGTTGTCCGTGATGAAAGCCATGGCAGAGAAGTCTCTGCTCTCTGAATGGCAGATGATCTTTATCCCTCCACTCTTCTTCCTCTTCCAGTTGACATCTGATGACTCCACACTGCAGAAACACAAATGCACGCCGCCGTCTCATTATACTGAGCTATATCTGCTTTCACTACCTCACCATTCACCATTTAAACAGGAGCTGTTCAACATAACATTTTCTGTCTCCCTGTTTTCATTGAATTAATTTTAGATTTTCAGAGCATGTTTTGTCTTAATGTTTAAGTATGTTATCTTGTACATTAGGCTTAGAACTAATTATAGCACTAAGAAACCTGTGATATATATGTGATAAGAACACTATGGGGGATCTGTGGCTCAGGAGGTAGGAGTTTGTCGTCCAATCAGGTGGTTCGATCCCCAGCTCCTGCACATGTTGACGTGTCCTTGGGCAAGACACTGATCATCCAACTGAAGCCCCACACACTTCATTACATCAATAAAGCATTTCCCTCATTTAATTCCTGCCTGCGTCATTGTATCCCCCGCTCTGACCTTAGGTAGCCTCCTTCAAAAGTGACCAGCAGCCCCTCCTTCCAGTATATGGTCTGGCTGCGTTTGACTCTGAAGGTGCTGCACCGGTTCCTCTGCTGGGTTCCAGCAAAACTGTAGATCACAGAGTTCCTGCTGCACTGGCTCCTGGTGTTTCCTTTGGGCTCAAAAGACTGTCACAACACAGCATCAGGCCATGATTGTAAGAGGAGTGTAAGTACAAAAGGTGAGTAATGATGATCAGCTGCTTTCAGTACCTGCAGGTCCATCTCTGTGAGGCTAATGAGCATCCTGGCTATAAAGCGCTCCCAAAATCCAGCAGGAACAAAGCTCATCCTGACGAGGCGTTGCACGGTGTTGTGGGTCTGCTGGCGAAGGCCGTGGATGTCCATAGCTGGCTTGGGGGGAAGTAAGTGGGGCAGCAGAAAGCTTCACCAAGAGAAAAGGGGAAAAGAAGAATTCATTTAAAAATGTGAATAAACGTTAGATATGCTTGCTGCTAGTAGTGCCAGGCTGTGTATGGCTCAACATCTTAATACATCAGAATCAGAATCCAGTTTATTGCTGGGTACGTTGACACATACAAGGAATTTGCTTTTGTGTATGTATGGTGGTGCAAACATAAACAATCTAAGAAAATAAGTTGTAAGAGTAGCTTAAAAAAAAACAATGATGATAAAAAAGAAACTATTTTAAGAAACTATTTATCATTTTAAATAAATAATCAGAATCAGAATACCTTTATTCATCCCACAGAGGATACATTTACATTTGTTACAGCGAGAAAAGAGCCAACTAAAAAAAACAAATTATTATTTCAAAATACACATCCTGTAACAGTTTTGAAGATATAGCAGCTAAGGGGTGTTAAAGACAAGTATTTACACCAAATGTTTATTTAAATATACAAAAGAACCTAAAAAGCAACTAAACTTAGGACAATGAATATTTGCCAATATATGACAAACTACAGTGTATTATATTTTAAAGTGGAGGGCTGTGCAGACATGTGTGCAGAAGTGTGCAAAAATATATTCTTGACCAAAGTGTTATCACTGACCAGACTGAAAAATACCGAGATCAGTTCATTCCTTATAACTGACTGGATTAACGCTACGGCCTATCAGAGTTAGGTAAATATCCTCAACCAGGACTTGACTGTATACCCTCCCTATCTCTTTGCCCTCATCTCACAAAAATGCATGTTACTAACACAATCCCCGGATGTTGCCAGTATTAAAGGTTACGTCTGGATCCTGAGTCGTTGTGGCGGCACCTGGAAGATCCAATTGTATCCATCTTTATCTTTTTCTTCTATATAGAAACTGTCTTTTCAAGCATTTTGACTACCTATCTTGTAAATCTATTATATCTTTAATTTACACACAACATGTATTGCACGTCTGTTCGTCCTGGGAGAGGGATCCTCCTCTGTTGCTCTCTGCGAGGTTTCTAATGTTCTTTCCCCCATTAACTGGGGGGTTTCTTTGGGAGTTTTTCCTCGTCCGATGTGAGGGTCCAAGGACAGAGACTATTAAGTCCCTGAGACAAAGGTCAAATTGGTGTTTTTGTACACATTGCATTTGATTGATTGACACCTTCACCATGATTCTTTCTTATGCGTTACACAGAGACTTTTCCTAGGTTAAGTGGCTCTGAGGAAGTTCTGCATGATTACCAGATATGCATGTTTGATGTATAGAATTGTGTGCTGGAGAAACTGGGACAGGCTTTCCAGCAAAAAAAAACAACCTAGGATAGTACTTCTTCCAACATTGGCATTCTACTATGAAAGGGCCTGCTTCCGGAGAAAACATTTCAGAATATATCAAATGAGCATGACATTTTCGTAAAAACTAAATGTTTTACCTGTTGTTGGCCACAGGAAGAGCAATCTCAAACTTGGCCAGAAACTGGAAATACTGTTCCTCTGTCTGCTCGGTGAAACCTGTTCCTACCAACAGCATCTGCATAGACATCATCAGAGATATCACCATAGAAAGTCATATAATCATTAACACTCTCAAATTCCAGTATTTACCAGTTTACCAGTACTAATTCTCACCCTAAGGTCTTCAGTTCTGATCACTCCATTCCTGGCTACAGAGCGAGAGGACTTGAGGTGCATGATCCTCTCCAGGCATTCTGACAGCCACACAGGACACAGGAAGTAGAGGGTGCACAGGCCGTGGCTGGTGTCCGGGAAGTGCAGCAGGGCCCCTGTCTCTATCAAGAAGCTGATGGCTGGATATAGTGTATAAAGAAGGAGAGCCGTTTGCATGGTGTTGCCTTGTGAATGGTGTGGTGGAGGGCATAATGTTAATATACATATACAACACATAGGTCAGTCAGCTTCCTGTTGTATCCAAATGTGCAAACAAACACCCAAACTCTGTGTAACAGCTTGTTTGTAACCAGCTCTGGGCTCTGGTTGAGATCTGAACAATAGGCGCATGAACATTGACAACAGTGGACCAAAGCACGAGAAAATAAAATGCGTAATGTGACTGGCCCCTTGCTCGAATTGCAAAATAAAGTCCTGTAGTGTTGTTCCAGTGCCCTCCGGCAGCACAACGCCTTATATGAACTCATATACGATACAATAGTATTGAAGATATCTTTACTTGGCGAGTAAGAAGAATGGCTTTACCGCTGTCGCTGTGTGTAGAAAGTTGAATAAATATCCATTTCAATAATCCAGGTATGTTTTTGTTTAAAGAACCAGAACATGTTGTAAAGGGGGGCAAGTGATCATAAAAATAATAACGAAAGAAATCATGTTGCAATGGAAATAATGCCTTACATTTTTTTCTGTTTCGGCATAGGCTTATGACTGTCTTCTATATTGGCAGTAAACCCAAAGCAGAACAATGTTAACATGGTATGTTTAAGTATTTGCAAGTGATATCATTATTGCAATATTCAATAATGTTATTTATAACATGTCTTCCTGATATTGTGCAGCCCTAATAAAGGTAATACTAAAGTTGTCTTTTGTAAATGGTGAATGGTCTTGACTGGCTTGCTAATATCAGCTACAGGAGCATTCAGGAGTCATCTACCTCTGTTAGCTGGTGTAGCATGTGTAACCATGTTTCCAAAGTTGGCACTTTCAGAGTTAATCAGAAGAACAAATCTTTCACGGTTACTGTACAAACAAAAAACTTCTCAAGCTGAACATTTTCACATCTATGTGTTTGCTAACAAAACACAGTACCAGTCTGACGGTCCTCATAGTCTCTGATGTCCCTTTCTGGGTTCTGTTTGAGGATGTGCTCCAGCTGGGCCTCAGTGATGTATTGGACCTCTCCTTCAGCATCCCGCCGCTGCTTCTCTGCTAGCACTGCATCCTGAAGGGTCAGGTAGCTCCTGGGGATCTGGTGGAGGAGACCATAGTAAAATCTGTTGGTGTTTTAGAATAACAGAATAAAGGTGTTGTCTGCCTGGTAGTTTTGAGTCTTCTTCACAAGATAGTTCCTGAAACTAACCATAAGAACTACAAATGAGAAAAATAAATCCTTATACTATTTCCAGTTGGATATTTGAAATGACCCACTAGTTCAAGAACACCTAAGAATTTCACATTTCAAACTAAAGTGAGGGAGAGATGGCTGACATGTTGGATACCATTCCAACTCCTGGACTGGGATCGTCTTTAGCTCTTTAATCCAAAAAAGACGACCCTCTCAAAAGGAAAATGTTCATGGTTACATGGAATCGTTGTGTACTTGTAATTCGTATGAATTACATACTTCTTAATGATGATGTAAGCCGCAAACGTATTATAAGCATGGAAATACTGTAAACTCAGCGGCAGGAACTGCTCTGGGATCACTATTGGAGAATTCCTAGCCTTGGATGAGACACAGTGCTTAGAGATACCTCTGAGAAAAGCGTTATCTAGGGAAATCCCCCTGGAAGCACACTCTGAAAAACTTCAACTGAAGAGGCAGAAGAAAGGTGACAGCAGAACAAAGAATTGATGATGACCTAGTAATTGCCACTGGATAGTTGGTCAAATGGGGAAGAGAAAGAACTAGAAATAAGCAGAGGACCTAGTGACGTCCACTGGCTGCTGGGTCGGAATAAATAATGTCACATCGTTACAAGAGAATCATAAAACCCAGTTTAAACCGTGAACCGATTTTTTAAAATAAAGCCTGGCAGTAAACTTAGTAGGTCTGATTAACAGCCAGTAATTAACTCGGCCTGCTAACACAACAAAAGGAAGACATGTTACCAAGATCTGAAGAGAGTGATCTTGAAATTCAAAATCTTTACAGTGGTGGATCTCATAGCAGCCATGCGTCCTGTTCAGGAATATTCAGTTTTTTTATGTCAATAATGTCAACAAGCTTGTCCAATAACTAATGGACTCTTCTCTTGAATTCCCGTAAAGGGTATGATACAGCTCCCTATAAAACATTGAGTTACTGACTTGGTTTTGGAATCCCTCTCGAAATATCATCTTTGACTGCCTTCTGTCGTTCCTTATTAAGATTATTTCTGGCTTTATCTTGGTTCAACTTAACCAAAACAGAGGACACACAGACACAACGTGTGGAGCATCATCAGTCACATGGCCTCACTCACCAGTCTGCCCAGCAGTCTGCTGCCACAGGCCGAGCTGCTGCTGCTGTCCCTCATGGAGCGAGACACCTGGAAGAGCAGCTTCTTCAAAGCCTCCAAGCCCTCCCGAGTCCTACAGGACACCTCACTGAGCTCACACACACACAACACACACTGAAAACACTGTGCAGACAGGTGCTCTTTCAGGCTAATATACTGATGATGCAGCATTAGGGACATACTGCAGGTGTTTCCAGGTGATGTCGGGGTATCCGGAAGCTCGGGCCCCTGACGGGGATCGGCATAGAGCCAGAATGTAAGCTCTTAGAGTGGCCAGTCTCTCGGTGCGAAACTTGGTGTCGATGAGATCCAGATGTGTTCCCACCACCACCACCGCAGAGTTGGGTGCTCTCGCCTAAAGGCCACAACACACAGTAAGCTGCACGTTTATGAAAATGTATAAAATAAAACACAAAATGACATTTCAAACTATTGGAAGTGGCCTTTTCTTCTAAGAAAATATATACTCCTTTGCTTAAGTGTAGGTTTATGGATGTGTTATATTTTATGTTGATGTCCAATCACTGTTGAAGGTAAATGTAAGGGGCAGTGGCGTAACAAGGTTGTGATTGGCCCCGGTGCAAATATTGTTTTGGGCCCCCCCCCCCAAACGTAAGCGCACACTGATGCGCTCACACACGCACGGACATACACTCTCTCTTGTCCTTTCTCTTTTGAGCGCCACTCTTGTGCTTTGGTTTGCTGTACATTATAAATGCAAGCTATTACATTTTTTATAATGCTGCCAAACTTGCTGCTGCTAGCTACAGTACAGGTTGATTAAACGGTTCGCTCGTCACGCAAGGTATCACATGACATGAAAGGGAGCAAGGTCATTGGACAGACAAATTACAAATGAATTTAGGTTGCTTGGTTACTGTGAAGTTAAACTTCTGTTGTTGCAATGTTGAGGTAGAATGAAGGAGTCTGGAACCGTCGTTAGCCAAAGCACTGAGAGTTTATTGGAGCAAGTACAGACAAATACGGCCGGGGAGATCACTTAGTTTCACACTGTCTCGTGCTTCACCATCGTGATCTCTGCCCCAAAAGACACAAAACATCTAACCAACACGAGGAGAGGCGGGGTCACAGAAACCCGCGTTTACCTAATTAGCTATGAATGGGAGACAATAATCTCCTTGTCTCAAAGAGATGCAGTTAGGTCTCAACCCTCCCCCACGGATATAGGAGAAGCGTTTGACCTGTGACCTCAACTTACAGAGGAGTCTATGACTGACTACAAGCAGATGTTTGCAGTATCACAGATTCTAAGAAATAATAAGAAGCTCTATAAACAGATCAGATTAAAATATTCTCTTACAGTTACTTTGAAGACTTCATATGAAGGTAGCCGGTAATTACCGGTTTTTAGCTGGTAAAATGTATAAAAAAACGGTAAATTCAAAACCTGCCAGTCAAAATGTCCAGTAATAACAAGGGATGCTCCGATCGATCGGCCGCCGATCATTATCGGCCGATATTCACTCTTAATAGTTTGATCGGTGCTCTCTATAAAGGCCGATCAGGAGAGCCGATCAGATGACGCAAAATACATGAGACTTTTCTCTGTGCGCGGCAAAAGAAGCTCCCCAAAATGGCTTCACTGCTAATGCTACCTGGATCTGATCGATATGGACATGAATTATAACAGGACGCCGGAGAGAAATCAGAGATCAGCTGCTGCTGACGGAGACATGCAGCTCTACCAGATCACCTGCAGCTCCGCCCGCTGTGACGGACCGGTGAGCGGCGCAAAACACACACTTCAAGTTAGAACATCACACTTAGCTATTTTATCTACCTCTGGAACAAACTAAACTAGTTATAAATATGTTTATTCTTCACTGTCGGGTCACTCATTACTGAGCTGCATGAGACGGATACAGACGGGCTGTCAGGAGAGGGGGAGGAAAAGAGAGCGCTCCGTTTAATATTCCCCTGTTATTATCCAAAGTTAATGTAAACCTTCATTTACTATAGGCTAAGTAGTTTGTTTTAATGTAATAATTATGTTGTTTGTTGTTTGTAGAAGCGCATCATTTATTGAAAAATGAATCTGAACTTTTCGATCTGTTACGATTATAAACTGAAGCAATATAAAACTGAGCCCCATTAATTGAGTTTTAAACATCAGCGTATATTACCGGTCATAGTCCGGTAATTACCTGCTAACGGAAACTCTGCTACACAATTATTATTATTATTATTATTATTATTGCAACATGACCGGTAAGTTTCTAATTTGTCCGGTAAAATAAATGATTTCCGGACACTTGACCGGCAAGAAGAAATCCTAGCGGAAACCCTGGAAGGGGTGTGTGAATGTGTGTGAGGCTTAGCTTCCCGATTTGGGTGTGCGGTGCCTTGCTTAAGGCGACCACGGCAGGGCCCAGGAGGTGAACTGGGACCTCTCCAAGTACCAGTCCAAACTCCATATTTAGGTCTGGTCGGGGACTTGAACCAGTGACTCTACGTTTCTTACTGTACATGGTATACTGTTTCTGTTGGGTGTTTTTACCCGCATCTTTACCATGGCTACCCAGAGGCACAGACTAGAAATCCAATTTGAAGTAGTTTATAGATGAGAACAACCCATCCGGGTATTTTTCGAATACGTTATGGCCCTTGCCCTGTTTGGGTGAAAACATTCTCTGTCATTCAACTGGCAGGAATACAGATTCTGAGGGTTTTGGCTAACACATAAAATAATGAAGAATGCTGTGAGCACAATTACGATGGTCAGTCAGACGAACAATTATAAAATGTCATTGGAGATTGATGATCGGTGTCGATATATTGTTAAATTAAAAGCTATAAAGCAGGGGTGGGGAACCTCCGGCCTCCGGGCCGTATGCGGCCCACGAGACAATTTGGTACGGCCCTCGAGGTAATTTATAAACACACGCAAAAAAGAAAAAAATGTAAGAAATCTAGACCGCAAAAAAATTAAACAAGCGAGTGCCTGTTTTTCCTGGCCAAGGTCAGGGTCCTTGAACACAACACGAGCCTAACGTGTCATCACGTGGTGTATGTCTCGTCTGACAGGGGTGCAGTTCTGACGGAGAGCACCGGAACGCCGCTCCAGCACTTCAGAAATTGCAGTACCGATAAGGAGCCGTACACATGCCGCAGTTTCTGCGTCTTTAGTTGAAAGCCCAGTGGCGATCTGTTCATCTGTCATACTGATCATACAGTCAATAACTTTGTTGTTATTAGCATCTGGTTAGCTAGCTATGCTAACGAATATAAGAAGCTTTTTCTACAACCAGTGAGGTAAAGGCACATCTTTATATGATCATTATAGTTAAAAAAAATAAGAGAATAATGTATAGGTTTAACAGGTATAAAATACTATATGACAGTAAAAAAAAGTTGTTATTAATAAAGAAGAATACAGTTTGAATTAGTCAAATATTCATAAAGAAAAATAAATCTGCTTCCAGTTCTGTTTCATCTGGGTGTTGAGAGATATATCCATAGATCTCCTAATGTTGCTCTCAAAGTGCACCAGATTGATGCTTTTAACTTCAATATTTAAAAATAAATCTTCCCGGGGGAGCAGGCCCCCCGGACCCCCCTAGAGGAGGTTAGGTCCCCCCCCCCACTTAAATCATGTTCACATGGATAGGAAACTAAATACATTTGCACACATCTTGTGTCCATATCTTTCTGTTTGGGTGGTCACGCCACACCGTGCACGTGCATGCATGCGCGAGTCATGGTGAGATATCTGGATTCAGAGGTTGCTTTTTCTTTGCCCAGAATGAAATGAATGGGCTGTGATTTTAGTTTTTTTAAGCAGAGGTCAATAATTTGTACGGCCCTCGGAGGATCTTGAAAAAATTTAAATGGCCCTTGAGAGGAATAAGGTTCCCCACCCCTGCTATAAAGGATGGATGTCAGTCTGCTGGTGGACGAGTGGCAGGTAGCAGATAACACTGAAACTGGGATTTCCTCGACTTGTCAGTTTTTTATATTTGAATGCAGCAACTACAGTCACTACTTTGTCAATCGTTTAGGTTGCATCAGTCACTACTTTGTCAATCGTTTAGGTTGCATTACAACCTAAACGATTGACGTTAACCTTATTAGCATCATAGTTCCGATGAGGGGGAGTGTTTCCCACAGGCGTACATTGTTTACTGACCGGGTCCATCGTCTCATTTTGCCACTTGTGAGCTAGAAGCTTTGGACATTCACAAGACACATTTTTAATGAGGTATTTAAATGCTGTCTCTTCTTTGTTAACCTCAGACCTTTTCCTGGCATCTAACAAAAACATGTTAAAAAAAAACATTGACTTCAGACGAGGTAACAGGATGTGGGAAAATGCTGACTAATTTCCGGTTTCTGGGAGAGATTCCTGCACCTCCCGGTTTGCTTTAATAGACTACAAGAATAATTGCATATCCACATCAAAAGATGAAGGTGTTTGATGGTTGACACATAGGCTCTGGTCAATACACGTCCTGATGAGGGATAATCGTTTACAAATATGTATGTTGCCCCTTTTTCACCGAACCGGTTCCGGGCTAGAGCCTGATTAAGCTCTGGTTCTTCCTGTTTCCACCGCAGCGGAGCCGGCTCTAAGCATCGAAAACCGGTTCATAGCTGACCCCACTCGGCTTCAGGGTAAGAACCAAGAACCAATACGTCATGCTTACGTTGGAGGGGGCGAGATTAACCTGAGCAATAACAGTTAATGGAGAGTACGGCAAATAAAAGTTGTAACAAGCAGTAGCGCTGAGCAAAGTGACTAGAACACAACCACACACTTATAAAAAAACACACTTTATAAAGTCAGGCAACACTAACCAGGCTTAGTGTAATTCTGTTTATGTTTACCTTACTTTGACCATCCGTTTGCAGTTATTGATCATTGTGGAGAGCAGGCAGACGTTTTGTTTTGTATTATAGCAGCTATCGGATGGAATCAATACATGGGCTGAACAGGTTGTCATGTCCGACTATCACAAGTAGAATCATAATGAAAAATATGCCGGTAAAATGTCCCTGTAGAAAACGGCTTATGCCACAATAGGATAGCAACAAGTGGTCAAAATAGTCAGTTTAGCTTCGGTTGCTATGCTAACATCACCCATTTTACAGTAAACCAGAGAAACTCCACAACTCATTCACTTATGGGGATGGGGGATATTTATCAGTTGCTTGTGTGTCAGTCAGACAGTGAATACTTTCCAGCGGCCGCTGCCGTGAGTTAACGGGAGAATAAACTCTGCCGTGAGTTGACGGTAGACTAAATAAACTGTGCCGTGAGTTAACGGTAGACTAAACTCTGGCGTGAGTTATCGGTAGACTAAACTCCGGTGGACGAGCAGAACTGCAGCTGTCGGTAAATGCCGCTGAACCACATAAACAATGAAGCACTGCACTCTGGGAAAGAGTATTACGTTGGAGAAGGTGTTCTTTCATTTAATCTGACTTCGTATGTTTAATAGCAACACGATCTTCGACCCGACACAGTCCCCTATTGTTGTTGTTGTGAGCGCCGTTGGGGAGAAAATCAGCGACGTAAAAGATGATGTCATGACGCAGCACGAGTCGGGCTCTGGGCAGTGGAAACACAACTGGTGCTAAAAAGAAGAACCGGTTCGGAACCAGAAGAGCACACGCACGGAGCTAGAACTGGAACTGGTTTGTTGGAAAAGGGGCATATGTGTGTGTATGTGTGTGTGTTAAAGCTAGAGTTCACCTCTATGTTGAGCAGCCATGTCTGCAGGTTGGCCACAGCCTCCTCTCCCAGAGCCAGGTTCCAGATCACTACGTACAGGGCCTTGTCAGTGAAGAAACACTGGGTCACTGTGGACATGCTGGCTGGACCCCCGATGTCCCACACATTGAACGCCACAGAGTCCCTCTGTGTGACACAAGACAAACACTGAGTCTGCAGAATGGGCTGGAGAGTGAATTCATGATGAACTCACCGTCTCAGACAGAAAGACAGACAGACAGACAGACAGACAGACAGACAGACAGACAGACAGACAGACAGACAGACAGACAGACAGACAGACAGACAGACAGACAGACAGACAGACAGAGAGACAACTTTTTCATTTCTCAAATAGAAACAAATGATTTAGGGCAACAGATACAATTGTTTGATTTGAATCGTTGTGTTCTGGAATGTGTGTAATGACTGTCTGTATGTATGTACTGTGTGTTTCCTCACACTGCTCTTGTCTCCATTGGGGTTGTCCAGCTCCCAGGTGGACATGGAGATGCTGCATTCTGCGGGGGTGAAGGGGGCCGCCTCGCTGGTCTGTAAAGCCTCCAGAAGGGATGTCTTCCCCTGTCTCGGTGGACCAATCACAAGCATCTTCAGCAGTTTACAAGGGGCAGCCTTCCGAAGGTATGCCCGGAGGAAAGCCAGGACAGACGCAGGACCTGAAACACCAGAGAAGCACTTTGGTTTCGGCATGTTGGAAATTACCAATTACCAAGAAACCATAGACTACTAGGTACTGCAACGCACTAAAACAACGTTTATTTTTCAAGTACTGTGCATAAATCTCATTTCTGGATACTTGTAAGACATTTGAAGAAGCACATTTTATACTGCTGATCAGAAACACATTTCATTTTCACAATTTTACTTTGTATGACTGCTGTCTCTTTGGTTACTCTTGGCATCCACTATGGACCTCATAGCAGAGGTGTGGACTCGAGTCACATGACTTGGACTCGAGTCAGACTCGAGTCACACATTTTATGACTTGAGACTCGACTTGACAACATCACAAAAGACTTGCGACTCGACTTGGACTTGAACACCAATGACTCGGGACTTGACTTGGACTTGAGCCTTCTGACTTGAGGTGACTTGCTACTTTAATTCAGAGGTCTCCAACACGCCGATCGCGAGCTGCCGTTAGAAGAGCAGACTCCCGTCGGGGAAAGCAGAATCTTCAGCCGCTCCTACTCTTGCTGAGAATCCTTGCAGGCAGGGGCGGGTCTTTATTTAGCTGGGCCACCATGCGGCCAATCATATGCGAGGACACACTAGGATCATACCATTATGTGAAAGAAGGGTGGGTGCACAGCATGTGCAGAGCGACGGGGAGACGGGGAGCCGGATTTAAATGCAAGCGCGTCGGAAAAAGTCAAGAAATGAGCGAAAACCGAAAAAAGAAGCAGCATCTGGCTGCTTTTCAATGATATTGGAGAAAGCAAAGCTGAGTGCAGGATTTGTAAAATGAAAATAACCTTCAGAGCAGGGTAAACACTCAGGATTTATTGTCAGAGGTGGGAGAAGTTCAGACAATTAAACAAAGTTACAATCAGGGTTCCCGCGGGGTCTTAACAAGTCTTAAAAAGTCTTAAATTTGATAATCAGAATTTAAGGCCTTAAAAAGGTCTTAAATATGATTCAGAAGGTCTTAAAAATTATCGAATTTGAAAGGTACTTCTGTGTTGCGATAGCGTCTAAATGTGTTTTGGGGGAAATGTCCGGGCTGCAAAGTAACCAGTACGGTAATAGCCTTTCAGTTCCCCCCAACAATTTGTATTGAATTAAATCAACATGGAACCAGTAATCACTAACTTTGTTTCCCCCGGCCCCTTATTGGAGAACACCCAGCTAGTAACCTAGCAACCAAGCTTCAGCTCATGTAGCCTATCTTCGAATCTACTTACAAATAAATATGGGGAAGTGTAAGTTCAACCGTATTTGGTTGGAAAACATCTAATTTCGTGCTTGGTTGAAACCAGTGGAGGGAACGTGTTTGAAGCCCGCTGCACCTTTTGCAAAATAAATTAGTGTTTGTTTTGCTAATGTAGCGTTAGCTAGTGGAGTGCTAGTGGAGCAGCAGCTAGTGCAGCAGCAGCTAATGTAGCGTTAGCTAGTGCAGCAGCAGCTAGTGCAGCGTTAGCTAGTGCAGCAGCTCCCGCAACAACACCGGGGGACCTCCGGGCGAAGTTTGGGTCTACGTCAACCCTAAAAGCGGAGGTGCTGTAGACGCTAAATACCTTAGCTAAACACCAATCATACAACAGCAACGATGAAATAGTGTAGCCAAGGCAGCAGAGCTCAGTCTGAATATAGCTCTTGTCACTCTCTCTCACACACACACACACACACACACACACACACACACAACACACACACACACACACACACACACACACACACACACACACACACACACACACACACACACACACACACACACACACACACACACACACACACACTAGGGCTGCTCGATTATGGCAATAATCAAGATTATGTTGGTCAATAATTAATATCACGATTATTAAATATGATTATTCATTGACTTTGAAAACATCCATTTATTGAACTTTAAAACAGATAATAATTTGAACAGTATCTTTTTAACTGTTGATTACCCTGAACGTATAATTCAACTGAAAAACCAATACAAAAATTAATTAAATAAATGATACATTACTAAAAAAATCATTAGATCAAATATGTTGTGGTGCACTGTCACAACCTAGCAAAGCAAAATAATCGTTTTTTCCGATTATGTTGTTTTCGTAATTGTGGCAGGCCAAAATCGTAATTGCGATTAAAATATGATTAATTGCACAGCCCTAACACACACACACACACACACACACTCAAGCGCACACACATACACACTTTTTGTCTAACACGCTAACACAGTTCTGTACTGTTATGCTGTTGTGTTCAGTCATTGTTCTTATGTTGAACATGAATACATTTACTTTGTAAGTGATTATGGGACGTATTTCTTCTTTATATACATTTTCCTTCACACTTTATTGCCGTGAAATAGGTCTTAAATTCTATTCAAAGTGGTCTTAAAAAGGTGTTAAAAAGTCTTAAATTTGAGTTGGCGAAACCTGCAGGAACCCTGTACAATAAAAAGTCCTGCATTCAAAATGTTACAAGTAAAAGTACAAAAGTATTAGCATCAATATATACTTAAAGTACCACCTGCAGAGGGATCTAGATGCAGGTGTTATTTTCCCCATAGAGACCGCCTCGCTGCACATTATCCCTTGCATAAAGATAGATTGTGGGTCCCTTATAACATGTTGTACACAGTGGAAATAAACATTCTGGTTACCTCAACATCAGGGATCTTATCCATTAAACTCCTTCTGAATCAAACCGTCACGGTAGCCTTACCTTACTGATCCCTCTTAAATTAGAAAAACACACGTTACTTTACCAGCAGAGAGAAAATGGATTATTAAATTATTAATGTGACTAATAAAGAGCAATTTGATTATTAAGTATTATTCTGTTGATCGATGTCATTACATTTGGTGAAAAACACATAATGACTTGTTTATGACTCGTTTTGTCAAAGTTTAGGACTTGACTTGAACTTGCCCATCCTGACTTGAGACTTGACTTGGACTTGCAAAACAATGACTTGAGACTTGACTCGGACTTGAGCGCAAAGACTTGAGACTTGACTCGGACTTGCAAAACAATGACTTGGTCCCACCTCTGCCTCATAGTAATAAAAACGACTTTCTGGACATAGGTGAAGCCAGGCATTAGTTATACGTTATTGAATTATGTAGGTTACTGAAAGGAAAACCTTATTCGGAGACTGTAAATTGTATTTTTTTTTTAGGAAAGGTTCATCTTAAACCAAAGGTGACATGTGAAATCTAAAACAGGTTTTGCTTGCTGTTATCATCCCAGCCATGAACAGGTCCTTTTCTACCTGGCTTCCAATGTGAGTGGTGGGGAACAGAATGCACTGTGGGGCTTCACCAGTCCTTCAAGCCTTCTGCACATTCAACAGTCAAGTGAGGGTGTCATTAAAGACAGTTGGACAGTACCTTCTTTTCTGACGTCCTGGGGGACATTAGTAATGTTGAGGTCTTCCGTGTCCAGCTGCCACAGGTTGGACAGTTGACTGAGCTCTGCAGGAAGCTCCCGGATTCTTGGATTACTGTTCAGTGGAAAAACATGGGTCAATACTTCACATGACAGCTACCTACCATCCAAATGACTTCAGTTGCGTTATTATTCCTGCTTTAAGTCAATTGGATTATTTAGAAATCACAGACTTCCGTTAAGCCCACAACAACAACAGTCAGATTGAAATGTTGCCAAATGATGCTGTGGTTCATAACTTCCAACTTCAATCATTGTGGCTCCTGCAAACAGCTGGAGCAGGAGGACTGGCCTCAGACCAGCAGGGGTCCCGGAGACTGAACCCAAAAGCAGTGATCATGTTTCACATTTCATTTCACTTCCTATGGTGACATCAGTGTTAACACCCAACAAGTTTATTATAAAATGAGATAACGTAAAATAATACAACTTTATTAGTCCCAAATCGGGATCTAAAAAAACGTTTAGAAAACTCCAACTACTTTGCATACTTATGTCTAGAGTATCCTATGTTTTTTATTTTAAGAAGTAGATTGTTCTATTAAACCGTATTCTGTATATTTTAAATTATTAACTTTTCTGTTGATTTGTATATATTTACTGTTTATAATTCAATTTATTCAATTGTTTTTTTAAATCTATTTAAACTCATGTGCAATGGGCAGACTCACTTGGAGAGGTAGAGCTCAGTGAGGCTGTGCAGACCACACACTGACTGGGGAACACACTCCAGCTGGTTATCATTCAAGAAAAGCACTTCCAGTGAGTCCCGCAGAATCATGGGAAACTCTATGGAACACACTGCCAAGACAGAGCCATGCATGGTCAAACACAACAGACACTTTATAACATTGTAACTTGTACTGAAACTGGCTTTGTGCCAACATTTCCAAAGGAAATAACAAGTAAGCAGCAGATTACACATAAGTGGGAAATGATGTAAAACATTATGTAACACTGATACAAAACAAAATACTGTCGCACAACAATTTGGTATTGAACCAAACCTCATCACAGGATGGAATCATTCACCAGGATCTGGTTAGTTTGAGCTATGGGGTCAGAGATGGTTCAATTAATGCGTGTCACCCGGAGGCTGGGAGCCAGTTGTGTTTTTTTTTCATGTTTCTATCTCATGATCCATCTCTTGGCATTTTTGTCATTGTTGCTTTAGAGTTAAACAACATGTTTCATGATTTGATATTGAACTGCTACACAGACTTTTTAGACTCGACTCACCTTTCACTCTCCATACATCAAACACCAGTGAAACAAAAGGCAAATATAAAGAAATCTACAAATCATGTTCTATACACTTTCTCAGTTTGAGGAACTATTGCAAGTACCGGACAATTATAATATTGAAATGTACTGTATATAATTGTTGCGGTCACATGATCTTATAAATAGCGAAGCAGGATAATAGAGTGCCACAGTGACGCGTCCTAAAACCCGGAAGTAAGTTAGCATTTTACCACTTCTGGTTCCTTCGACAAAAACCAATGCAATTTCTCCATAGGGTTTTGGAAAATAGCTGGAAATAAGGTCTGTGGTTGACACACATTTATGAGACAGATCACGTTTTGTTCAGCCGGATAATATCCACATGTCTACCCTACTTTTATAATTTTCTAATCATAAATCTATCGATTAGATTTATGATTTGCATTGGTTTTTGTCGAAGGAACCGGAAGGAGTTTACCTCCGGGTTTTAGGACGCATCACTGTGGCACTCTATGGCTCAAACAATGTAATGGTGTGATCACAAATATGATTGGACTTGATCAGACTCAAATGCTTTGAATGCATGTGAAGCAGATGTACCTGGCTCTGGGTCCCTCCTGTTCCAGGTTGTCAGGAAGGCCAGCTTCCTGGATTTGGGCCCCTCCTCTGTTCTAAATAGACAATTTTAAATTTGGTAAAAAGGCAAAAGCAGTAGAAGATAAAAACTTCCAACCCAGTATACTGCATGTTTCTTTTTTTAAGTGCCAATCTCCCTTACAAAAAAAGATTAATCAGCAAGACATTTAGGAAGAGTTTTCTCACTAGCTTTAGGAATTATCCGTATATTGATGCTGACAGATGGCTCACAGGACCGTTATGAGCTCCAGTAAGATGGGAACGTCTGTCCGTCCGTGTGTGTGTGTGTGTGTGTGTGTGTGTGTGTGTGCAGAGTGGACCTACCTGCCCAGCTGGTTCCTGGATAGATCCAGGGTCCTGAGCCTAGAGCACTTCCACTTACTGGGGGCAGGGAGTGTGTCAATGTGATTCCCACACAATCTCAACGACACTAGAGCCTGATGGGAGGAGGAGATGCTGTGACTGCACATTCACACTTTCATGTCTGCGTACAGCTGTTCCTCCAGCCAAATGAGCTGCCAGAAGTATGTAGCCTATGTCAGTATGAGGCCAAACTTGAAAGAGTGTTAAAAGCAGCAGCTTCAGCTCCCAGAAAAGGTGTCTAACAGATATATGCGTACATCATAGACTGGTTGTGTAGTTGGTCGGCGGGCCTCACAGAAATACTATTGTTTTCTACATGTGTTTTAAAACTTAGTAAAAACTTCCCTGCTCTGCTCCATTTTTGGGCAAGTAGACAATAGAAGTTATGGATGTGCTGGATGAGCAGAAACAGCATTAGCCCTTTCACTCAGCCTGCCCACTGCGGTGTTCCTCCTCCTGTTCTTTATAAGGGTGTATAAACGACAACCGGAACGACAGGAATACGAACACTTATCCGATCACACGCAGCAGTATTAATACTTTTGTTATCATATTCGTTCATGAATTTTGGTTGAAACTATCATTTCTAACCCCTAACTGCACTCTTGGTCCACATACACACCTCCAGTTCAAAGAGATATGAGGGCAACTCCTTCAGGCTGTTGTCAGAGAAGTCCACCTCCTGCAGCTGCGTCCTCCAGGACATGGAGATGGTGTTTGGAAGATTCTCAATGACATTGGAAGAAGCGTTGCATTGCTTCTGCATAGGATGTGATAGGAGAATATCCATTTGGTTATTTTGGATGATATTCATTTCATTCACTTATCATACATCTCATCAGCAACAACAACGAAACCCACTACAGGAGGGAGGTGAACCAGCTGGCCACGTGGTGCATAGACAACAATCTATTTCTCAATGTGGAGAAAACAAAGGAGATTGTTGTCGACTTCAGGAGAAACGACACCCAACACCCCCACCCACAGACCATCGGTGGTACTGCTGTGTAACAGGTGAGCTGCACCCCCCCCACACATTGTTGTTGTGTTTTTATCTTAATGTGTGCATATGTTTAAATGTGTGTTGATTGTGTATATATAGGATATACATATTTTATACATTTTGTATTATTGTATTCGGGATTGTTGGAAACGTTATTTCGATCTCTCTGTCTGTACGCACAAACTGAAAGATTGGCATTAAAGTTGACTTTGATACATTAAGTTCCAGCAAAACCCCAAACTGCAGCATCAGAATCAGCAGACATAGTAAACAGGAAGTGGATGACAGCAGTCCAGTTTCTCACCAGAGGACAGGCCCAGGGCTCCGGGAAGCTGCTCAGTTTGTTCCTGCACACATTGAGCAGGATCAGGGACTTCAGACAGTGCAGGACTGCTGTGGGCAGGCTGCTGAGACAATTATCAGACACCTCCAGCTCCTCCAGCTTACGCAGACCAATCCAGTTAGTGGCTGACACAGAAGAAAAACACAACACAGCCGAAATGAAAATCAACCCTGAAACTGAAAGGCCTTTCAGCTGTTGCCACTGGAAATAGTTTGAATCAGTATTGAAATGGTAATAGTCACTATAATGGAAAATATATGGCAAACTCCATTCATCTGACATGATGTGTTTACATAAATGTACTACCAACATGTTGATTATTACAGCTTTATAATAAATGAAGAGACCACTGAAAAATGATCGGTCACAAATACAAAATTATTTTTGAAATGATTAGAACATACTGGAAGGAATGTCAAACAGGTCTGTGAGCTGGTTCTTAGCAGCAGAAATTCTCTGGATGTGGGTCAGGTGGAGGAGTCCGGGCGGCAGACTGCTGAGCTGGTTCTGGGAGAGATTGATGTGCTGTAACCTGAGCACAGGAGAGAGGGAGGATGTTTATGATACAACCAGCTTCATTTAGGAATCACTCTTTAATCAGTGTTTGCCCTACTTTTGTAAAAGAGAAAAGCTGAAACACTGACATTTTGATCAATTGTTTGCCCTTTTAGCTTAAGAAAAAGCAGATCATGGAGTTTAATCATGGAGCCCAGTAACAGAATACATTTAAAGACTGAAAGCATTAAATAACATTAAGCTGGCCCTTTCTATTAAAAGTGTATTAAAGTCAGTGCAAACAACCATGAGAATACAAACTCAGAAAAGCAAGAGTCCCGAAGGTACATCAGCTTCAAAAGAGCCAAACTGTTCAAAGTGCTACATACAGAAATTACAAATTGATATTCATCTAACTATTTGTAAATGTTCTGCGATGGTGGATGTGTAGATGTTCTGCTGTCATGATATCAATGGGCAGCTCATTCCATTTTGGAGTCACGATAGAGAGCAGGGAGTTGTGCACAGTGAAGTGCACGTGCTGAAGTGTATAATGGAAGCATTTCCTGAATGTAGGAATGTAGTGATTGATTCACTACACGGTTATGCACATGTACAAACAGAACATGAGGCATTGGGTTTATCAGGAGCAATGAGCATATGGTGGGGGTGCTCCTGCTTCTGTAGCCTGTGTTCAGCATCAGAATAAGAATCAAGTGTATTGCCAGGTACCTTTACACATACAAGGAATTTGCTTTGGTATCTGGTGGTCAAACATAAACAACCTAGTCCAGTGTTAATCCAGTGTTAGTCTTGACGGCGTTTCCTGTAGCTTCGGTATTTTTGGTGATGAGGTTCCTTCCGTCTCTCTTGATCGCTCTGCTTTGGCTCTTTTATGCCAGCTTTCAGTCTGGCTCTGGTGATACTGTACATTTCCTCACCTGACAGAAAAGCAGCTTTTTTGGCTCTGGACAGGGCCCTTCGCTATGACTCCTCAATAACTTGTACAAATGAAATAAACTTGTGAGTATGAGATAATACTTTGTATGTATGAGATAATAACTTGTATGTATAGTAGAAGATAATGACGTATAGCTGCTAGCTGGCAGTGTGTATTTGTCACAGCTGGTGCCTGTGTACCTGGAGCAGAGGACCTGCTGGGAGCTGGCAGCAGCTGGCAGCTCCTTCAGAAGATTGCTGGAAAGATCTAGAGTCTGCAGGCCGATGAGGCCCCAGGGCACCACGGAGGGCAAAGCCCCAAGGCTGTTGGAGGACAGATCTAGGTGGGCGATACGTGAGGAGACATCCATGAACCAATCGAGCTCCAACCAGGGCAGCTGCAGACCGCTCCAGCACACAGACACAGCCTGCACACAGCATGGGGGGGGTAAGCAGGGTGACTCAAATCTTATCAACCTAATTGTAATACATTGTAAAGCTTAGCTGAAAAGTAAACATTTGTGAATGAACTAAGACTTTCATCATATTATTCTTTCAGAGTTTTCAATTTCATGCAGTATTGTCAAGGCTTTTTTTAATTATTAAAGATCCTTTGAACACAAAAGAAAATGTATTTGTATGTAAATACTGCAATTGGTTTAATATGATATAATATATAATATAATTTCAATATTTTACTATCTTTTATAATTAAAATGACTGTTTTCATTCCCATTATGAGTTTTTAATTGACATGATCCATATGCAGCAGAGATCTCATCACAATAATATAATGATAACTTCTATATGGCTATTCTGAGTATTTCTCTGTAAAACGATATTAACACTCCCTGCCCTCTTACTACCAGAACTTACTGGGGTAAGTGGAAGTGCTCTTGTCTCAGTACCCTCGATCTATCCAGCTGGGCAGGTAGTTCCACTCTGCACACGCACCTCCGCATACACACGCACGCACACACACACAAATTCCTTATTGTTCTTTGAATGTTTTGGATAATGTTTAGGATTGAATTGCCTTGTGTATTAATAGGATTCCTGATCACTGCTCTGACATCACAAGCCATTGGTCTGCACCGCAATGAGCTGGCACTCAGACGTATCAAAACTCTAGTGCAAGTCAAACTGAGACTTTTTACTTTTTAGCAAAAAAACTCCTCCTAAATTGTCTGCCAAATGTGTAACGCCTAAGCTGGTGTGTTGTTTGCAAACAGAGCAGACATTCTGCTCCCTAAGGTTTGACACAATCTGCTGTTAAATATGAGCCCTCCTCTGAATGCCTCACATTTGTTGGTTCCGAAACACATTCTTATTACCACCTTTGTTTCCAGAATACAGACCTTGTCTCCTTCTGTGTTTGTGGTTTCCTGTAGTTTGAGTCTAAGGAGGTGTTTGCTGAAGGCTGGGTGGTCCATCAGGGTGTATGAGGAAAACCCCGCCCCATTCTGCAGCAGGAAGCAAGATATCTCCTCATTACCTGCAACACAAAACACACAACTCACTTAATGTGTTCAAAGTCCCAGTGTTCACTACCTGTTACTGTACTGTTCAATAATTACATGGCCTAAATGTTTTCAACACAGAAACGTATACTTTCTTGCAGTTGTTCAGCATGTGCAGCTATAGTTTTGGATTCCTGTCATTGTGCATGCTGGGTCATTCTAAAACTGTCATGGCTTCCCCTATCAGCCAACAATTGGCTCATCAGCACTTTTACTGGTCAGAAGACTTCCCTTACATACCAGAGCTAGCACACAGCTCTGCTAACTCCCCGCCCAGAGTCCCTGACATATTGGACTAGAGATGGGACAAATCTAACCCAATATCCAGGGTATAGTGCGCACCGCCATCGAGGATTGTTGTTGTTATCCTCTGGTTAGCTAGCTGCGTTAACAGATATAAGGAGCTGTTTCTACAACAAGGTGGAGGAGAGCACTCTCCTGTCAGACTGAGAGGCTCAGATAACTATAGCTCAGTGAGGTAAAGGACTCTCTGAGTGTTTAGATAGTTAACTTAGTCTAAGTTATCTCAGTGGGCCTCAAATTGTTTGGTCACCATTTATGTAAACAAGTGTTTCCAGGGCACACCTTTTGATATGATCATTATAGTTATACAAAATAAGAAAATAAATGAAAATAAGGTATGGAATAATTCAAATTCATACTATAGGACAGTGAAACAAAAATACAGTTTAAAAGGGGAGTGGTTAGTGAAATATGCATAAAGAAAATATTTGTACAGTTCTGTTTCCTATGGGTTTTGAGAGAGTTTTAAGTACATTCGACCAAGAAGATACAAACTTGAAGAAAACAGAATCATATAAGTACATCAGGTTTCATAGAGCAAAAACATTTCAAGTGCTACTCAACTGGAGTGTTATGGACCTGCGAGCAAAACTCCATTCACTGGGGCAGATATCACGGGAGAATTTGCTCCAGGCTCAGGAACGTCAGCAGAGCATGTACAACAGATGGTCGACTCGAAACTGAGACAATTTTCACCGGGAGATAAAGTGCTTGTATTACTCCCAACCTCTATCTCTAAACTACTTGCCAAGTGGCAAGGACCCTTCGTGGGTAATTCAAAACAACAAATTATCCCCGGTCTGTTGTGGCGACAATCTCTCACCGGGCCAGAGAGCAGACGTTGCTTCGTTGCAAAGGCAGTTTGCCAACGTGTTCTCCCTGCTGCCAGGGCGCACCTCTCTCATACACCACCGCATAGAAACGCCCCCGGGCGTGGCCATTCGTTCACGGCCCTATTGGCTGCCTGAACACAAGAGGAAAATTGTTCAGGCGGAGCTTCAGGCCATGCTAGAGATGGGAGTGATAGAAGAGTCCACCAGTGACTGGTGTTGCCCCGTCGTGCTGGAACTTAAGTCCGACGGGTAAATCCGGTTCTGTGTGGACTACCGCAGGGTGAATGAGGTGTCCACATTCGATGCTTATCCAATGCCCCGGGTCAACGAACTCCTGGATCGGCTAGGCACTGCTCGCTTTTACACGACACTGGATTTAACCAATAGGCCGCAAGGTGAACCTCGAAAAGTCCTTTAGAAAAGAAATCCCGCTCCACAGAAGTGAAACTACACAATCTTTAGTTCATAAAAAAGAACGATTCATGCTTATCCACCAAAAAAAATGTCGTCGCTAAAATTCCTGCCAATTCTTCTAGGCACGTAATTATTGGCTGAACTATTCCCTTCGAAGCGTAATAATATCTTGGTCCAAAGTCGTGCCACGGTTCATCACGTGATCGTGCTACACCAATTGGGTAGCTGCATATTGTCAACAGAAGTGAAAGATGGCGGCCGCCATGGTTTCATCGAGTAGCGGAGACGAGGAAAACGCACCAGAAAGTCTCAAAGTCAAAATGATCAACACACAAACATTGTTACATGCATATTACGTCTGTGAAGCACGAAAAGGTTGATTGTTTTACCAATACAAGATGGAATACGTACAGGACAAGCTTACAACGGTCGCTCGGCTTGAAGGGAGACTCTCGGAACGTGGTGGCTGAAAACCACAAGCACTGTCTTGATTTCGAGTTCGAAGATATTCCTGAGGACGCTGGCTTCCACCACACATGCTACATAAGGTTTACCGACACAAAGGCCATGACGAAGGTGGAAAGACGGCTCGCACGTGAGGGAGATCAAGACGTTAGGGAGGACCTTGAGGTCGAGCCCATCCCATCGACGTCTCGCAGCACGTACCGAAGCCAAACAGAGAAGCTACGATCAAGGTCAGGCCTGCCAATCGCAGGCTCTGGCCCCGTCCTTCCTGCCCTGTGCATTATATGCAAGATGAAGGAGAAAATGATCATCAAAGCAGGCAAGCGACAAAGGGATCAACTGTGTAAGGCTGAAACATTAAAAGCAGGTAAGCAAACCCCCTCCCCCACCCACACACCACACACACACTACACACACACCACACACACACACACACACACACACACACACACACACACACACACACACACACACACACACATTCTCTGTGGTTGAATAACTGAAAGGTACAATTATGTGTGAGAGATACGTCAACAAACTCATTGAGTTGTCCTTTTTTTCCGTTTAGGCAAATTGCAGAAAGCTGCTGAGAAGAAAGATGACCAAAGTGTTGACCAGCAGGCAAGGAAGTGATTTTGCGTGCTGACAAGAAGTTATTTTCCAGGCTCCTCATCCTTGGCCAGAGCAGGAAAATTGAAATGAGGGAAATTCTGTCATATTCCTTGGGAACTGTGTCATATCCATTAGCAAGTGCTGATGGTTCACTTGCCAAAACAAACAAATCAGCTCTCATGGATCTATTGCAGAGCAAAGGTGGAGAGTGCTTGGTTGACAAAGTTCCAATAGGTGGTGCCATTCTTTTTGATGGCATGGCAGTCATGCAGGCCATGCCATCCAGACCAGCAACATTTGGAGAGCTTGCAGAGACCATACTGCAGAGCATACTCCAACTTGCTTTGCATCACAAGTGTACACGCATTGATTTTGTCACTGACCGGTATCCACCCATCAGCATCAAAAGCCTAGAACGGTCCCGTAGAGCTGATGCAGGGTCACAACTAATAACAATCTTCAGCCCAGATCAGAGAACTCCAACCCAGTGGAAGAAGTTTCTCTCTGACGGAAAAAATAAGGAAGCACTGGCCGAATTCCTTTATGTGGCATGGACACATGCAGACCTCACAACAGTGGGTAAAAACCTCAGCTTGTACATTGCCCATCAAAATCAATGCCACTGTGTAACTGTCATGGAGGGTGTACAGTCTGTTGATGTTGTTGAAGACCTGCAGTGTGATCATGAGGAATGTGACACACGGGTGTTTTTACATGCCCAACATGCTGCACAGGAGCACAAAGCTGTCATCATCAAGAGCTCGGACACTGATGTGGCAGTCATTGCTGTAAGTCTGCAGGCAGATTTGCCATGCAGCTTATATGTGTTCACAGGGACTGGCAACAGGACACGGATCATTGACATTGCCATGGTGTCATCAGCTCTCGGAACCAGTGTGTGTTCAGCCTTGATTGGAATTCACACGTTCTCTGGGTGTGACTCCACAAGCGCTTTCTATGGCAAAGGCAAAAGAAAGTCATTTGCTGTTGCATGTGAGAAAGATGACTACCTTAAGGCTTTCAGAAGTTTAGGTACTAACTTTGACTTGGAGCAATCAACATTTGCACTTCTTTGCCGGTATGTATGTCACCTGTATGATCAGCCAGCAGCCGAACATGTAAATGATGCTAGGTACAAGGCTTTCTGTATGGCATCATCGGCCTTGCCAGAATTAAGCATTCCCCCTACTCATGATGCCCTCCATCAGCACTGCAAAAGGGCAAATTACCAGGCAGCAATAATGAGGTCCTGTCTCAAAAGAGAAATGAATGCTCCATCACCTGCTGGATATGGTTGGGAAATAGAGGATGGGAACGTACACGTCACCTGGATGACAAGAAATCCTGCCCCTGACAGTGTGTTGCATGTGATACACTGCAGCTGCAAAGAGTCTGCCTGTGAGAAAGGCAGATGTTCATGCTTCTCTGCAGGACTCTGTTGCACAGACTTATGTCGTTGCCCAAATTGTGCAAATAAAAAAGAAACAGAGGAAGAGAACGATGACTGCCCTGACACTGACAGTGAGGAATAGGAATAAAAGAGCCTTCTTTCCATCTTTCTTAAGCTCTTTTCTGTTCTTTTGGTTTTAGTGCCTGGCCGACGCGCTCACACATCACTCATAGATACGTTTGTTTTTGGTACTAGAACAGAGTATAATCAGCAGGACTCTTTTAACCAGCTGAGGCAATCACAGCACCAATCAGCCGCTCCGCCCAGCCTGACACCAATCAATTATACTACATTACATGTCCTTCTACTGTTTTCTATGTCATACCTTTTATATTTGTAATAAATCTCGTTTTTATGGTTCATCAGTGTTGTTTTCATTTGTGGAGGGATGAATGAGTAAATAAATGAATCAATGGACATTGGTATAAGTAAGGCAAGGCAAGTTTATTTATATAGCACTTTTCAACACAAGGCAATTCAAAGTGTTTTACAAAAAATTAAAGACATTAAGAAAATGGCATTTAAAATCAGTCATTCAAAAGAAAAGCTAATAAAAGAAACATTAAAAGAAAAAATACATGGATAAAAGTTACAGTGCAGTCTAAGATATGAATAGTTCAATTAAAAGCAGCAACAAAAAGAAAAGTCTTCAGCCTGGAAGTACTGCATTTTATTGATCTAAATTACTTAACGTAACAAGTTAACCTTCTTCTTGGACGCAGAAATCAAGTCATGTTTATTTTAAGAGTGCATTTAACGTGTACAGGGTAACAACAGACAGACAAAAAGTCCTCAGTCTAATGGAATAATCCCAATGAACCTAGCGATGTGAACATGGCAGTCCAGGAATGATAGTTTGATAAATATGAGTTTGATATACTTTATTAATCCCCGTGGGGAAATTGTTTGTAGCTGGAGTTGGCTGATAAACGCTGCTAGTCAATGTTGATTCGATGGTCAACTCTGTTCCCAGATAGTAAAACCTCTCACAAATACCGCGTATATAACGCAAATACCTCGGACTTAGTGATGTATTAAGACATATGACAAAACATGACATAAAACAAGCATACAGCACTGTTTAGAATCCATTTGGTCTGGTTTAGCGTAACCATGGCGGCCGCCATCTTTCACTTCTGTTGACAATATGCAGCTACCCAATTGGTGTAGCACGATCACGTGACGAACCGTGGCACGACTTTGGACCAAGATATTATTACGCTTCGAAGGGTCTAGTTCAGCCAATAATTACGTGCCTAGAAGAATTGGCAGGAATTTTAGCGACGATATTTTTTTTGGTGGATAAGCATGACTCGTTCTTTTTTATGAACTAAAGATTGTGTAGTTTCACTTCTGTGGAGCGGGTTGAAACGATAACAGGGTTCACCTTATGGCCTACAAGGGCTATTGGCAGATTCCCCTTTCTCCAGAGTCTAAGGAAAAAACGGCCTTCTCCACTCCGTATGGTTTTGTACCAATTTGTCACACTTCCTTTCGGATTGTTCGGGACTCCAGCCACCTTCCAGCGGCTCATGGACCAGGTCCTGCGTCTCATGGACCGGGTCCTGCGTCCCCACTCTGCATATGCTGCTGCTAACTTGGATGATGTCATCATTCACAGTGAGACATGGGAGCACCATATGCAGCAGGTGGGGGCAGTGCTCGAGTCCCTGAGGCAGGCGGGGCTCACGGCCAACCCGAAGAAGTGTGCGGTTGGACGGAGGGAGGTACGGTATCTGGAGTACCACTTGGGCGGCGGGCAGGTGCGGCCACAGAAAGAGAAAACAGCCGCCATTTCAGCCTGTCCGGCGCCCAAGATGAAAAAATAGGTCAGGAGGTTAATGGGGCTAGCTGGCTACTACAGGCAGTTCATCCCATCCTTTTCGGAGCTGACCAGTCCCCTGACCGACCTGACCCGAAAGGGTGCTTCAGATCCGGTCCAGTGGACGGAGCGGTGTCAGCTGGCGTTTGAGAGGGTTAAGAAAGCCCTTTGTGGTAAGCCGCTTCTGTATTCTCCTGACTTCTCTCTCCCTTTTGTGTTACAGACCGACGCCTCGAACAGTGGGGTGGGGGCCGTTTTGTCCCAGCAGGTAGAGGGGGTCGACCGCCTCGTACTGTACATTAGCCGTAAGCTCGCCCAGAGGGAGGTGAACTACAGTACGGTGGAAAAGGAGTGCCTCGCCATACGGTGGGCGCCCTGCGTTACTACCTCCTGGGGCGCCCTTTCACCCTCTGGTCGGACCATGACCCGCATGAAGGATGCCAATGCCCGGATCACTCGGTGGTATCTGGTGTTGCAGCCTTTCAACTTCAATGTGATCCACAGGCCGGGTAACCAGATGGTCGTGGATGATTTCCTCTCTCGCTCGGTGGAGGGGGGGGGGGAGTTAGATTGAGGCCGGCAGGATCCCGGCCTGAGTCGGGCGGTGGGGGTATGTGGCAGCGGGGTGTGGTAGGGCGCCGGCTGCTGGAGTGAAGGGAGTGGCTCGGCCGGAGGCCAAACAGCTGATCAGAATCAGGTAATTAGTCACTGAATAAAAGCATGTGGTAACCTGGTTCTGGTCTGTCTTGCAGTAGGCTGGATCCTAGAAGGACGCCAAAGGACCTGTGAAGGATCCCGCAAGGGCAACTGTTTTGTGTATGTTTAACAATAAACCCCTGTGTTACACCCAAACCCTGCTCTTTCCGCCTGTATAATCACGTAATAAATATACAAGTGTAAATTAGATTGTATTTCTGCATGACAAATGTAAACATAAAAACAGACATGATCTCTACAAAAATGTTTCAGTGCATAATCAGGTTGTCTTGGCTTCTTAAATAGGCACACAGAACCAACCACCACCCAGCAATTAAAGTGTAAAAGTGTGTATCAGGATGAGGATCACATGCTTTCCATTTGGCTAATTATGTTTCTTCCCTTCCTCCGGCCGCTAACACTGAAATTGATCAAGGTGTGCAATCATTATGTTAACCATCTAAAAGGGATACTCAGAGGAGACAAAGGGGAGTAGAATAGGAGTAACAGGAATAGTACAAATGTGGTATTTATTTTCCAACTGAATAAAGATGGATTGTTTGTGTATATTACCCTACCTGCTTGTGCAGCAGCATACAGTGGCAGCCCCGTAATGACAGCGAACTCATCGCTGTGGACGGCACAGTCCTTGGTGTCAGCAGCGTAGCCGTGGACCAGCAGCCGCACCACGTCCAGCTGACCTTGCTGGCAGGATGTCGCCAGCATAAAGTTCAACAAGTCTCTCCTCAGACATGGACCTGAGAGGTAGCCCAGAGATTAGTGTGAGGACTATTCATCAACCAACACACACACTGCAGGGCTTCCTTTAGTCCAACAGACCATTTCAAATTACCATTCGGAACTGAACCCATCAAACAGATTATTTACTCTGTGGGGGAAACTTCTGAAACAATTGGAGTCAGGACTCAAAGAGACACGATGGAGAGCTGGAGCTTTGATGTCAAACACTGATGATTTATTTGGAGCTTCGGCCGGAGAATTCACAAAACAAGTCAGGAGTCAGGTTTTGACTGCACGGTAGAGTTGCCACAATCAATTCTGAAGAACCTTTCTCTCGTAAGACCTTTTAACTGGTTTGCCTGGGAGTAATCAACATTTCACTAGATAGCCTAAACAGCAGGGGACACCGAATTACTTGCAGTTGATGCTAATGGCCTCAAAGATTTCACACCTTTCGAGTCATCAAGCCCCGAGAAGGAAGCGTTCCAAATCTCCCCGTAACAATAAACTATCTTTGACCGCAAGATGCCCGGTCGTAACAATAAAACCATCTCTGACCTAAAGTTGCCGTGTCATAAACTGGCAACAACAACAAATGGTCAAAACAGCCCCCCTCCTTAAGGGAGATAACAGATGGCCAAGGTTGGTCATCTGCGTCAGAGGGCCAAAGGTAAACATCTATGGAAATTATTCCCTGACATACTCAATAATGGTTCTGTCAATGTTGAAAGGAAAGTCAAAAATGATATTATTTTGGTGTGTAAAATACTCAATCTCTGTATTTTTTGTAAAATTATATATTCATATTCTACTTACAGTTTGGTATTAAACTGTTTAAAATGTACCAGTGTCATACTCTCCAGCACGCTCAGGTAAAGGTGAGGACATGGTGTGAGTCTTAATCAAAAGCAAGGTCATGTTAGGATTATGTGCCATAGTAACACCAGCAAGCGGATTAGATTAACCAAGGAGGAAAACAAATGAATGTTATTAGAAAATATTTGTCTTTGAAAGAGTCCTGTGTGGTCCGGATATACTGAATGTTAGTGAAGTCAGTTGAATTACTGAGTCATACAATTCCCATAATTCGATCCCTTTCCATAACTTTATTAGACCCTCACTTTCTGGTTAAAATACATCGCTTGACCAACTGCACACCTCAAGTTTGTAACTCAGGTTTCTTTTTTTTATATAAATTTGCATCTCAAAGTCCAGGCTGAGATAACCCGAGGACATCACAAACACATTGTTGGAATTATTTTCAGAGAAACAGGGGACATTATATAACTTTTACATTAACATGGTGGAGTGTCTCTTTTTAAAATATTGTAAAGCGGTTTAGCATTAACTTTGACAGCAGTAACACTTACACAATGAATATATAATTTAATAAACTTCAGGACATCAACTGGCCTTCGATTCAATTAATGTATTGTATACATGTTACTAATGAAACTAAAGGTTTGCCCTGTTCCATATCATGAATCTTAAGCTGTCTCTTTTCCTCTTACCAGGGATGGAGTCCAGCAGCTCTTTGACCACGCTGGCGTGGCCGTAGTACGCTGCCAGGATGGCTGGGTTGCTGCTGGATGGTTCCTGAGGTAAAATGATACGGGCTTCTCTCAGGAGGTAAGAGACACTCTGCAGATCACCATGCTGAGAGGCAACACAAAGAAGACCAACCTGTAGGAACACGCACAAACAAAGACACAGATTCATCATTGGAGCAGTCATATGTACAGTGGTTTGCAAGAGTATCAGATTTGTCTGAATCACAAATGATACATAAACACATCTTTCCATTCAGTGTTTTTATAGAATGTCATATGCTCTAAAAGGTATACTTTCATTGACAAAATTAATTATCCTTCAGTAAATCTTTTAAAGAAAATTAAAAACAGAAAATTGCTGCCTGCATCAGTGTCATCCCCTACACATTAGTATTTGGTAGAGCAGACTTTGGTGAAGTAAAAGCAGGAAGTCTTTGAGGGTAATGTCTAACAGCTGGGCGCAGTGTTCACAGGGATTTCTGACCGCTCTCCTCTGCAGATCTGCTCCAGGTTTTCAGGTCGGTTGGATGATGCTTGTGGACCGCAGCTTTCAAAAAGTGCCACAGATTGGATGGGAGGAGATCTGGACTTTGCCTTGGCCACTGCATGACATTATCCTCTCTGTTTGGTGTCTGGAATCATTGACCTGCTGAAAGGTCAAGTTCCTCCCTAGCAGTGTGTCCTGAGGCAGTGTATGCTTTGCACCACACATAGCACCTTGACTCATTAGAGCACTCGTCCTTCTGGTTCTCTCTTGTGCCTACTGGCAAACTCCAGAAGCTTTGATATGGTTGTTCTTGAGAAAGGGCGTCTTTCTAGAACCCCTCCCATACAGGCCAGTATCATGCAGAGCTCCTGATATGGTTGGCTGGGGCACCTTCACTCCTGTTACTGTGGTCCTGCCTGATGCTCACCTTACTACTTCTCTTATCCAGAGGAATGTTGACATCCACCTGGATTCATCTTCATCATCTTCTTATTTATAGAAACTGTCTTTTCAAAAATGTGGACTACCTATATTGTAAATGTGTTATCTTTTGAATTGACACAGAACATCTACTGCAGGTCTGTCCGTCCTGGGAGAGGGATCCCCCTCTGTTGCTCTCCCTGAGGTTTCTCCCATTGTTTTGGGGGTGTGTCCAAGCCCGCCTTAACCTGCCATCAGGCCCTGGGGCTGATAGGTTTTGTAGGCCCCCTATTTAAACAACAAATCAAAGTCATTTATAGCCTCAGCAGGCTCTGTGATCGCACTTCTCCACTCTGCGCGCCTGGTCCTCTCCTCCAGATGAGTGATGTATCGGGCTTCCCTCATGTATTTGTCCGGATGCCGTTGGCTCCCCTCCACGTAGCAAGTCCTCGTCGTCCTCTCCATCTCCTCCAACAGATAATGTCCCTCCTGTCTGTTTTTCCTCTCCCGCTACTCCATCGCTATCAGAACCAGACGGCCTACTTGGCTCCGAGGCCCCGCGTCCGGCACCGCTGCCGCTCGGTACAGAACTAATCTGTCCTTCCTCCTCATCCTGGCCTACAGGTTTCAAATAACCTGTAAGCTTCGGCATTTTTTGTAATAGCTGCTTGTCTCGAAACTCCTTTTCCCTCAACAATTTCCTTTTCAGAGCTCCACTCTCAAACTTTTTCTTCTCCGACATTTTCTCCTAAACAACCTTCATCTGTCACTCAATCACTCGCAATTTGAATAAGTCACATGTGAAACATATTCTCATTCTGATTGGCTGTTAAGTGGTGCCCGTTTCGGAGTCAACATTATTGAGAAAAATCTCTGGAATCCATCGATCTGATTGATTAGCGGAACAAATGATCAAAATAGTACGGAGGGAAGATATTTTCGTTTGGATTACTGGTCTGAGGGAAGCTTGCGAGTGTGTGTGTGTGTATATGTGTGTGTGTTTGTGTATTTTTGCGTTTGTGTGTATTGTGTTTGTTTCCCGGGGAAAACACTCACGAGAAACCCCGGCTGTTGTTACGCCTGCTGTGACGTCAAGTTACTCCGTTCTCCGCTTGTAAGTATGCCGTTACAAGCTTCAAAGTTGTATTTATCATCTGAATTTGCCGAAACAAGTTTAATATTCTGAAAGCCAAGACTTTGTTTATTTGAAATCAGATGAAAACAAACTGTAACGGACCCTGCCGTGTTATCTATGATTACTATACTCTTACATTCATAATTTCAGCCGGAAGGAGGGGAACAGCAGAACAGCAGAGTGGCGAGGGAGAGCTGTCTTCTTCCCTTTACAAGCTTCAAACATTTATTTATCGTGTGATTTTGGAAATAAAAGTTTCATATTCTGAAAGCCAAGACTTTGTTTATTTAAAAAATCTGAAATAAAAACAATTGAATTATTATTTTTCTGGCTCATGATAGGCCCCCAATCTCCGTAGGCCCCTGGGCTTCAGCCCAGGTCAGCCCGTGCATTAAGACGGCCCTGGGTGTGTCCTTGTCCGATGTCTGGGTCCAAGGACAGAGGGTGTTGTGTTCGTATTTATTTTCTGTACATACTGTAAAGTCCACTGAGACAAATGTCAATGTGTGATATTGGGCTATATAAATGAACTCTGATTGAGTGGAGTGATGGAGGTCTCTCTGTGGCCTCCCTCAATAGTAACAGTAAAATCTTTATGTTGCGTGTGCTCACCCCATCGATGTGAGGCACTGCTGCGCTGCACTCTACACAGCAGGCCTGTTGGATCAGCTCCCTGGCAGCCTCATTCTCTCCTTCTTCATAGGCTGCCCGGATGTTGTCCAGAGTGGGAGAAGTTACCATAGCAGACCCAGGACCCGGACCTTCCACCAACGATGCCTTGGCTCCCATTTCCTCCCCAGGGCCTGATGGAGCAGAGGACAGACAGTGCCGTAATGGGAGTTAGAAAGAGTATTTGTGAGCAGGAATGGGATCAAACGAAGGCTTTAGCATGCTGCAGGTTGAACAAATTGTATCACACTGTTAGCTGCATATGCCGAGAACTAGGTCACCTTACTAAAGAATACTCTCATAGTATGAGAGAGGCTGAAGCTGAATGAAACATTGCACACTTGACACTGAACTCAGTTCTCACACAGATATTGTTTATTAAAGGATAATGCTAAACTATTGGACCGTTGATGAGCATATATTATGTTTCTAGCTCTCTCTTTAGCTTAAGATGGTAACTGAGACTGTTCTAAAGTATTGAGGCTTTGTGTTAAATGCTTTCATTTCTTATGGATTCATGTATAAAATAGATGTTTAGAGTACAATGAATAATGAGATATTGTTGCAACTGCTCCTTAAAAGAAAATCACTTGTTTAACCCACCCTTAATGCAAATGCATTTAAACTTGACATTTACACTTATTGTCAGTGAAAAATAATAATATTAAGACTCACTTCTAGCAGTTTCAACATCTATTGTTAAGTCACTAGCAGGGGTCACCAACCTTTTTGACACTGAGAGCTACCTGAAGGACAACCAGGAATACGGAGGGCTACTAGTTTGATATCATTTATCTGAAGAATATACATCAGCAGTTTTCCTTTGAATAATAAATATTATGCATATAATAGGCTACATATAATAACAATATTTTTACATATTGCTGTTTCTAATGTTTCCCACTTTGTTTTGAAATGTGATGGGATGGGAAGAAGATTTTTTTTAAATATGAACATGTAAACTATGCATTCTGGTACTCTCTGAGAAGAAAATAAATAGCACGGAGCAGACTAGAGAGTATGTTCCCACTGCAGTGAAAGTGGAGGACAATGTCACGCTGCTGCGATTGGGACCAACAGTTAAATATGAACAGCACGATTTAAAGGTGAGTGTCTGAGTGTTTACGGCGGACAGACTTGTTCCTTTTGTTCACTGCAGAGACTGCTGATACACAGAGACTGAATCAGCAGAACAACTTCAGACAGAGTTCACAAGTTTTGAAACATTTCTCCCAGCAAAGGGATCAGAAGTCCTGAAAACACTCGCTACACGGGGCGGAAATCCTGCAGCATGCCGCAGCCCCCCGCAGCAGGAGCAGAAAGGAGACTCCTTCCCTCTAAAGTCCACAGTAACAAACATTTTTATTTTCTTTACTCATGTAAGACAAAGTTATTTATTTATTAAGTGATGACTCACACTATTTTTAGAACGCATCCTGCGGGCGACCAGGCAGGTTCATAAAGCTGGAAAAGTTTACTAAGTCATCTTCATAAGTTAAGATATACATCAATCCCTCTCTTTTTATCACTCTTTCTAGAAGTGGCCGCCTACCAAAGATATGTCCAAAGGCAACACGCAGAATAATCAATGAGGTTGAAGAGAACCCCAGAGTTACAGTTGAAGGCTTGAAGGGGTCCATAGCAGGACACCACAGAGGAAGCCCCCGCTCTAAAAAATAACACCATTTGAAGTTTGCCAAAGAGCACTTCAACACTCTACAACACTACTGGGAAAATGTTTGGTAGTCTAATGAAACGTTTCTGCTATGAAAACGGAAACATACATACAAACATGAAAACATCATCCCAAAGGCGATGTTCGGTGGTGGTGGGGGGTGGGGTATCCTGATATGGGGCTGCTTTGCTGACTCGGGGCCTGAACTGCATGCGAACCAAGGGAAATAATAACTTCAATGTTTACCATGACATCCTACAGATAATGTCAGAGAGGCTATCCGCCAGCTGAAGCTCAGCCGACGTTGGGTGGTGGTGCAGCAGGACAATGACCCGAAATATCGATGTCAATTTAATACACAATGGCTTAGTACAAAGTCAATCTGTTTAGAGTGGTTCAAAGCCAAGACCTTATCCCAAAATAAATGGCTTAAGTTCACTTGCTTTTCTATTAGCAATGCAAATGTTTAATGGGTGTGTTCAATAAAGACATGAATGATTATACATGTTTGTGTGTTATTAGCTTAAGCACATTGTGTTTGTCTGTAATTGTGACTAAGATGAAGAACAAATCCCGTTTTATGAGCAATGCATGCATAAAACCAGGAAATTCAGGAAAAGGCATATACTTTTTTTATTTACCGTTTCTCCCCCTGCCTCCCTCTTTATACTTTCATCGCCCTCCATCCATAGTGTTGTGCAGTAGAACTTTCTTTTATTTCTATGCCAGAGATACAGTATCTGTTTTCATGGTACTGCACAACAGATATACACATAGAAACAAACCAACACATAATTAGTGGTGGAATGTCCAAGCCTCTTTGTTTCTCATCTAAAGAACCAGAGCGGTGTATGAACATCATAATTGTTCTCATTGTACACAAAGAAAAGACAGATAACGGCAGTAACCATTATCTTAAAGTTTTACGTTATGTTCCCCAGTGTGTACTTTAGCTGCCAGGGGAGGAGGGAGGGAGGGAGGGCAGGGGGTAGAGCAGACGAGAGCCATCATCATTAGAACTGCAGGACTGGCTGCATCACTGTCTGGTGTGGTGCAAGTTCAAATCCAAAACGTTGCCACATTGGTCGTTTTTTGGTTTTCTTGGAACCTCAGCTGGTGGATTTTTTTCTGGCCTTGGCCCAGCAGTAAATTGGGCACAACCTGTCAGAAAATAGTGTCTCTTTTGGTCTGTTTGTAACAAACATAACAGTGTATTAATCATATTACTTATCAGTGATGGAACAGCATGCTGATGTAGGTCAGTTTCAATTGACCAGATTGCCAATTTAGCCGGTCAACATAATATCTGCTCTACACAGGACCTGCATAACGAGAAATTGACCTTTCCACACCCAAAGATACACCTCTACACTGCTACACCCCTCACCCCAGAATTCGGCAACATGCATTTGAGGAGATAAGCAGAAATGTTGCGCCTTGATGCTCATTGCCATGGCCCTTTAGCCTTTTGCCATTTCTATTTAAAGTAACCCCTTAAAAATCACTTAAATAAATTGTACTTTAAATGTAGTATTTACACCAAGTGCCTTTGTAAGTGAAATTATTTTTAAATAACCAGTTTTATGCATTACTTCTGTTTGTGTAACTCTAGACCAGGGGTCTTCAACTAAAATTCAACGAGGTCCAGTTAGAGAAAATGTCCCCATGCAAAGGTCCGGAACATCAAAATGTCTAACTTGCTATGAATTAGTGTGATATATATTGAAGTAGCTGTAGCTTTATCAACGTCTGCATGTAATCAACAACTGACTGCCAATCAAATAAAGAAAGTACAATTCAAAAACAACAATATTTATTGTCAATTAACATTACTTAAATACTGTGGATATGTGTAATGTTCCTCTCGGGCTGCATTTACAAATAAAATAGAGAAAATAAATAAAATAGCTTTTGAAAATATGTGCATCTTAAAAGTGCTTAATTTTAGATAAATAAAATAAAGTGTAGCAGCAGCTTGAGTTTCCCTTTTTCTTTGTTAACCGTTTCACATCATGACTTAACAGTTTCAGACGATTATAGAACAATATCAGTCTTTACACATCATAGCAACTGAACAGTTTTAAAGTTTCTCTTTCTTTCCCTCTTATATTGCAGTCCCTCACTCACTTTTTTTAAATTCAGTGCGAGAATTGAGCTCGAGCTTGTCCTGCCAGGAGTTTGTAAATCTGGGCTGACATGGAGTCAGGGCTATTCTCATACCCATGCAGGTGCTCATCGGTTACAGTGATGCAAACACAGGTATGGTGAAAAAAGAGAGAACTATTCGAAGCAGAAAAAAAACAGCGTAATATACCATCTGACAAAGGCCTGCGCTATAATGCTTCAATTAACTGCTATTCTTTATAATATACTCAGATCAATAGGAGACAGAGATGTTAAGTTAAAAATCAAGGGTTTTTATTATTATTTACAGAAAGGGTGGGGAACCTTTTTCCTTTCAATTTTTACAACATCCTCCGAGGGTCGTACAAATTATTGAACTCAACCTTTGCTTAAAAAAACTAAACTCACAGCCCATTCATTTCGCCTTTCTTTCATGCTGTGCAAAGAAAAAGCAACCTCTGAATCCAGATATCTCACCATGACTCACGTATGCATGCACGTGCATGGTGTGGCATGACCACCAAAACAGAAAGATATGGACACAAGATGTGTGCAAATGTATTTAGTATCCTATCCATGTGAACATGATTTAAGTGGGGGGGGGACCTAACCTCCTCTAGGGGGGTCCGGGGGCATGCTCTCCCGGGAAGATTTGTTTTTAAATATCTAAGATAAAAGCATCAATCTGGTGCACTTTGAGAGCAACATTAAGAGATCTATGGATACATATCTCAACACCCATATGAAACAGAACTGTAAGCATATTTTTCTTTTTGGATATTTTACAAATCACTCCCCTTTTAAACTCTATTCTTGTTATTTTTAACAACTTTTTTGTTACTGTCATATAGTATTTTATACCTGTTTTTCATTTAGTCTCATTAATAACTATAATGATCATATCAAGGTGTGCCTTAACCCAGGGCAGCCCCTCCCTACAGGCCAATCACGCAGGCTGCATGGGGCCCCGCCTTGCGCAGAGGGCCTCAGCTGCTGTGCGCAGTTCTCCGCTCAGTTCTCCGCATACCGCGAGAGTGAGAGTGAGAGGTGACAAGGGGAGCACGTCTGTAACCCGACACCGTTGCAATGAATCGACATCTGACCAATCACGGCTTTGATACGGCCACTAGTGCAGGTGAAGAGATGTCGGTGAAAAGACAGCTTCAGTCCGAGAGGGAAGAAAACAAAACATGAAGAAACTAGAGCATCACTCGAAGGTGGGTTATTGTATGAGTCAAATACACAACTTGCGAATGTTGTACAAGTCAAATTGCCAAAACATCAGCTGCAATTCAGGACATGAAGAAGGCAGTCTCTGCATAGCATATAGGCTAA